GTGGGGGGGTTGGACTAGATGACCTACAAGGTTCCTTCCAACTCTGATTATCTGTATCTGTATCTGTCCCTCATGACCAGAAGATACCAACATTTTAGATCGGAGTTTAGAAGAAACCTTTACCAAAGCAGTATTGCTTCATTTATGTAAAATCTATGTTAAAGTTTGTACCAGTATTGTACTATTTTCCCTCTGAAATGTAGTTTGCCCATTACTACACAATGTGGTTCACTGACTTTTCTTCAAGCTATAGGGCAGAGGTGTCAAACTCAAGGTGTGTGGGTTGGATCCGGCCTGTGCGGTACTTAGATTTGGCCCATGGGCCTACCTTGGAAACAGCAAAGGATCACCCCATGGTGCCTCTGTCAGCAAAAATGAAGGTTGGGGAGGCCGCATGTGGCTCGCCCATGCTCCATTTTTGGCTGTTGTGGCCAAAAACAGAGTCTCGAGTGATGTCTAGATGGCCATACCACCTGCTCCCCAAGGTAAAACACAACCTTGATGCAGCCCTCAATGAAATCGAGTTTGACATCCCTGCTATAGAGCAACCTATTAGTAATGTAATGTAATTGACCACAACTATGGTCAACATTTTATATCAGTTTTAAATCATTTTGTTCTACCAAACCAAGCTTGTGTTAAATGGATTCAAATTGAGTAAATGTAAAAAACATGTTGTGGTATACACTCATATTTCTATCAGTTTTGTACTTGTTTTCTGCAATTTTATCACATCAAGCCTAAATTTTGTATCACCCACAATGTGGGAAACTGATATGTCCCCTAAAAGGGAGTTTAGAACATCCCTCTGTATTATGGTTTTTTCTACTAGATCTTTGTTCCCCAATTTCCCCCACCCCAGTTGCTAAGAAGTGGCTGATAAACATAAAAGTGTGCTATTTGCAATATTATTGAAGTTTTCACATTTATGGAAGAAAGTTGTTTAATACTGAAGTTAATGTTAAATTTTCCAGATTGTGATAAAATCTATTTGCTCACAAAGATATTGAATCAAGCTTGCATCAAAACAGTCTGAAAAATCAAACATCAACTTCATTCTTATCAGAAGAAAGTAAAGTGAAAGCAGTTAATACAAAGCAAAAAATTGAGAAGATTGAGATTATGCAGTTCTTTCCTCAGAAGCATTTACTACAATTAAATATGTCTTTCAGTATTATACCTCCTTCGGTACTAATAATTTCACTTTACAGAATTGTGGAACTAAGACTCTGATCAGTCAATATTGTCATGCTGAGGCATGTAATTGAACTTAGTTTTTTTTTTATAGAGGTTCATCTTTTTCACCATGTTTGGTATAGTGAGAACTCCATAGTTCAGATCAGCTAAACCTTGGAAGCTGTATTATCTGGTGCTTCTTCAGAATGGCGATAAGGACATAAATCTCATCATATGAATGCCTGAACAATATTAGTGGAATATGATCAAAATGATTTAAATTACTATTAAATGTATTTTTAAAGTCTGTTGATGTTAAAGTATAGAATTTTCAGCAATCTGTGATGTGGTAACCTGAGAACATGGACACATGAACGCTGTTAGCAGTATATCATATCTATATTGTCTTCATGTTTATGTACAAAAATAGATTTCCCACATGAGGACAATATTTAAAAAAACATGAGGTAACATCCTAGAGAGCATTGAAAAAATCGAGGTGGCAGTTGTAGCAGCGTGAATAAAGCTCTACTATGCTGCAAAAGCTGTACTTGTTTCTTTTGTTTTTCTGACACTCACCTGAGGATGCTGCTGGAGGAGTCAGCTACTGGTTCATATAAATATTTACTTCTAAGGAATGGTGTGTATCTCTTTTAAGACTATTTTATTTTAACTTTTCCTTTTGAAGGATACAATTGGAATTAAGGGGTTTTAAGACATTAAATTGTTCATGTGCACGTGGATCAAGGTAACTGCAGAAAATATTTTAATGCATAAAAATCTAATGTCTAAGATTACTGTGTTATGTATGTTGAAAATATTGCTCTGTACTTTAGGAATGTATTTAAGAGAATCAGAATTTTTGTATCTTTTAATTTAATAAAAAACAAATCACATTATTGGATTTTGACATACACAGAAATACAGGTTCTTTGAGGCATACATAACCTTATTTCATACTATTGAGCATTCTGAAATGTCTTTCCAACTTATTTTATTGCTGCAAAAGAGAGTACATCTTCGTCTGAAGAAGCCCCACCTGTTTGGGAAGGTAAGTAAATTCCTATTACTAGCCTCTTTCATTAATCTCATTTCGTTTTGTTTTGTTTTACATAGTAATGTTGTTTCATGCAGATTCTTAGAATATAGGGTTGAAAGAGATCTTGGTAATCATCCACTTTCGTGCTCAGAAGCCATTGCTGCAGCATATTGAAAAGATGGCCATACATCCATTGTTTAGATATTTCCAGTGAAGTAGTTCCCCATCTTGCAAAGTAGTCTACTAAAATCTATTTGTAGCAATTTAAACACATTGGTTCTTGGCCTGTCTTCTGGAAGAACTCAGAAATATTCATTCATTCATTCATTTATTTATTTACCCACCTACCCACCCATAAAAACTCTGGCCACTGTACAGCACAAAAACAATAATAAGAGTGATAATAACGGAAAGGATGTACATCCCTAAAAAAATTATTCAGATTATTATATAGAATCCTATAAGAGACTTGCCACCCAGCCCAAATCAAGGCCTAAGGAAAATGCCAGGTTTTCAGAGACATTTAGATAAACTATAGATAGCTATAATATCTTCCTGCATTTATCTTTTCTCTATCTTTTCCCAGTGCTTCATACACTTTTTCTTCCAGAATATGATATATCAGCCATGTGATTTTTCTGGACAATGTCCAGTTTAGTATTGCTCTTCCTAAAATACTTTGCAGGATACAGTGTATAGCTATAATATGATAAATTCTGAATAGACAAGAACAAGGATTTTATCATATTTCTGTTAATGAAGTCTAGGATTGCGTTTGGTTTTTTGTAGCTGCATCACCATTTTAGTTCATGTTTGCCATATGACCCACCAAGACACACTAATTATTTTTGCATATATGGCTGCTCAGGAGTATAGGTTCAATTTGTCAAGAACTTCCTGAATCTTGATCTTGATGCTGTTTTTTAAGAAGCTTCTCCTCCTCCACCTGTGTCATCTGCAAATTTGATAACCATTCAACATGATCATTCATCCAAATCAGCTAAAATTACTGTACTACATGTTGACCAGGAAAAGACCTAGAGCAAAGTCTAGTGGTATTGCACCCAAGCTTCTAGTCCTGACACACAGTCATGCATACTTGGGGGGTATAGTTGTTCAAGCATCTCCATACTGCCATGGTCTTTATTAGAGGCTTCATCAAACATTTGAAGTCAATGTTCACTATTTCTGTAATTTAACTGACCACTAATCTGTGGTCAATCAAACTGTTCCCTTTATTAGAAAAGTAAATATCAGGTAGGTTTGTGGTGATTTATTTTTAATAAACCTGTGATACCTTTTGCTAGTCAATGTATTGTTTTTAAATTCTCACCAACTGAGTGCTTAATCATTTCAAAGTTTTGCTGATCGATCAGTAATTATCCCTCTCTTTTTGAAAATAAGAGCATTTGTCCCTTTCTGGTCCTGTGTTATGTCCATGGTTTCTCAAAGATCAGAGATGACATCTGTTAGCTCCTTTGAAACTCAGATGTAACTTTTATTTTTACAGATATTTTCTATTTCGTCCATAGTGGTTATACCCATCTTCGCCTATATATGTACTGGTATTTTTAATTCAAAAGCTCCCTGTATTTATCTACAACTGTTACATAGGCTACCCCTTCATTTTTTCTCTCTGATTGGAATGGTATGAATTCCCAGTATATTATTTCTGGAAAGATCCCATCCCTTCTTTGATCCCTTTATAAACTTTGCATTTAAACTGTGAATACATAGGATGTTTTGGCTAATACTCTAGTACTGCTTATTATTACTGTTGCTTTCAAAGCTATATCAGATTTTGATATTCCATATTCCAAATAATTGAAATGTTTACAAATGCTTCAGTGTATATTGTAAGCTGACATGAAAATTATGAACGTAAGTAGAACATATTTATAGGTGCAGTAACATCTGCTAAGTAGTAAACTATCAAAGGGATGGTGAAGATTTAGCCTGTATTTTTCAAAACTAGCCAGCTGTTCAGATTCATCAGCCTGCCCGTTACATCATGAAAGAAGTTAACTCTTGTCAATGTGTCATACTGTCTGCTCTGTTTGCACATATTATCTGCATTGTGGCTTTTTTTTTTTTTTTGGCATTGTGTTTCTTTCCTACCTTTTCTTCCCTAGCCTTATTGTTCTCCAATAAAACAGCAACTATGAAAAGGCCTTTTTTTGTATTGAGGGCTCTCCTACTGGACCAAATTTTGAAATATGTTCGATAACTTTTTGTTTTCCATTTTTTTCCCCATGGACTTCTAAGAGAGGAGTGGTTTTGATTAAGGGGTGATCTGAAATTTCCAGGAGACAATTAGGACTATATTGTGTATAAATGCAATGCACATATACATATGTATGCTTGGGTAAGAGAAGGTTGAAAGTGGTGGAGGGGGGTGAGAAATGCTGTTGAAGACAGATGGGCCAGAAATGGAAAGAAATGCTGTTGAAGACAGATGGGCCAGGTAAAAGACAGCTGAAGATTAACTCACCATTATATCAACTTGTCTTCCACGGTTGTGAGATCAAATCATTTCATAATAAAATGATAGTCTGTATCTGTTATAGTGACCACCAGGAGGCGCTTTGATTGCTTATCATAAATTGAGATTATTGAAACTCAGCTGTATGATCTTCAGTGGGATGAGAGGAAGGCAGGATTTATTTTTTCTTAATTGTGCACTAAGTTTTTCTAATTTGGTGCATATGTCCATAGAAATATAATCAAATAACTATTATAATTTGCTTTGAAAAATGCTAATTGTCTAATCTGTTCTTTCTGGCAGTGAGACAACGTAAAGCCAGCATTAAAACAAAAGTGACTGTTCAATACATAAAATCAAAGGACACGAAAGCAAAGAAACAGGCAGCAGCCAGACATAAAAAAGAAGACATAGAAAAGTGGAAACACGATAGAAGACGACGAACTCCTCTGCAGGCTAGCAGTCAAGCAGATCTCCCTTACACTGGAAACTATAGTTTCATTTAGATGTTACTTTTAATAATGCAGGACTGGTCAATTTGATGTTCAAAATGCTGCATAAGGATGAAAAGAAAAGACACTTGTTTTTAAGACACAAATTAAGAAATTGTGTGTTTTTGTGTTATTTTGGGGAACCAGTTTAAACAAATGCCTGGTATTCATTTACGGATGTGGTAAAGTGCCCATACTTTTCCAAAGTCTGTTCTTTTCAATAAATGTTTTTTTTTTAAGAATCTGGTTTACCACATGTTAACTTGGGAAGAGAGAATGACTCTTCTGATGATATAGACATTTCTGTCATCATCTGGTCTTTCAAATTCCTCAGCTGATGGATAACATTAACCCTCATAATAGTTTTAACTCAATGTGCTGCTTAGTTTCCACAATAAAGATTTTTGCCAAGTAGTTGATGGTTCTAGTATAAGCATAAATGTAAGAATCTTTTTATTGTGCTTCCAGGAAATTCAGAAACAAGGGAGAATCAGTTTTTTATTGATTTTAAATGCGTATGAGTTAGAGAACTGAAGCAATTGTTTTATCTGTTCAGTTGACAGAAACAAAGAAAGCTGTTCCACAAGCTCTTAAATGCACCCAGTTCTCAGTCTGAGTGGTGACTTTTAAAATTGCATCCTTGAAATCTGAAATTCGCAGCATTTAACTGGTGGAATTCATGATTAAAAGTTTCTGTTCCGAGTAATAAAACAGCACAGATCTTATTTTAGTTGAAGCTTAGTTTGAAAACTTAAATTATTGAATGAGGCGATTGTTGTTATAGGCGATCCCCTGTAGGCTTAGTACTGAAACATCACATTACTAGTGATCTTTTCAATTACAGATCCTATTGCAGTCAGTGGAAATTGGAGTAGAATTTAGCAGTGTTTGTACTTGTAATTGAGGGTGAAAAAAATGCTAGCAGTTGTCTTGCTTAAGGCTACTGATGGTGTTAACAATATTGAAGTATCCTATTGTTATGCCTCTGCTGTAATATATTTCAGATATTACACAATTGAATTATTTCTAAAACATGTTTCCTTATTTTAGTTGTGAATTAATGATATTTATTCCTTTAATAAAGTAGGTGGTGGGTGGGCTAGGAATGTATCCAGGAAGAGCAGTCAAATGTCTGTAAACCTGGAACTTAATAAGTCAAAACCCTTTCAGGCATTCCTTCCTCCCTGTCTTTCTTATCTATCAGTTATCCCCCAATATATGCAGGTAGTCCTTGAATTACCTGTGATGAAGCTTGCACATCACAGTCCTAATTCATGATTATCATACATTGGGTCACCCACTACCAATCCAATGTTATGACCTTTTTTGCAACTGTCGTTAAGTGTACACTGCGATCGTTACGCAAATCCATAGTTTGCTAAAAGTTGTAAGTAAATGGTTTTTTTTTTTTTTTTTGCAAAAATGTCATAAAATGCTGTCACGTCATCATGGGACACTGCAAGTGGTAGTGAATGCAACTGTCTTGCTGAGTGCCTGAAGTGCGGTCATGTTACTGGGGGGAATCATCAGAACTTTGAATCCAGGTTGTAAGGTCCCCGAGAGGTCCATTGTAACTTTGAATGGCGACTGGTTTTAAGTTGTGTATACATATCTGTATACATAAGCATATGATTACCTACCTAAATAAATACTTTGGATGTTTAACAGTGCTTTGATAGTTTTTACTCTGTTCTGGGATTTGTCATAACTTAGAGAATTGTAGAATATGTTTTCAAACATATTCTATGCTTATATGCTCCCTAAATAACTGTCTCATTATTATTGCTGTTTGTATTTGTATTGATATTTGGGTGAGCTTGGACAGAGTACCAGGCTCTACAGAAACCAACCTGCTTGATCTATTACATCTATTACCTCTAGTCTGGAGCTACCTGCCCCAGTTCAATTAAAAAAAAAATGGTAAAGGTTCGTATAATTATGTGAAATCAATCATTTTGATCCCAGTCAATTCTGATTTGGTCAGCTTTACATCAACAGCATTTAAACTCAATCAATGAACTTACAGTTTGAGTTACTTATTCTATAGTTGGCATAGATTGCTATTGAATATGTAAACAGATTATCTTTGATGATAATACCACCCATGAGCTCCTTGGGTACTGAAGCCAACATTCAAAAATACGTAATACAATTCGGCATTCTTGAGATGAGGCTGTACATAGAAATTTCATATCTAACAATCTAACAGTTTAGATATAAAGCTCTTGGAATTACGAGTGCAGTAAAATATTTTCTTTTCTTGACACATCAGGAAACTTGTAGGAACAGTTTTTTTGTTTCAGAGTTAATCATATTAGCAGAACTTACCCTGCTGGAAAAATATATGCTGTCATTATATCCCTCATAGCTGTGATAGGGACACAAGTGGCTGGATATAAATTCTTTTCTCCCAAGAAAATATTTTCTGGCCCCAGCTAAGACATTCCATCTATATGTAAGGCCCACTCCTCTTTTTTATCTGAATTTCTACCATTATAGCTTGGATAATTCAACTCAAGCCACACTGTTCCAATTGTGAAGTTAAAATTAGCACCCATTAATCTATCCACTCCTCTTCTTTGGCTAATTTAATACTATATAGTTTTGGAATTATAATGGAGAACTGTCTGAAATATGACAGATGGATGTAATAACAATGGCTGTCAGTCATAGAGCTCTGATTGATGGAGAGTAACACAGAATTTTTAGTTATGCATTGTCTTAGGAATGTGCAATATCTAATGGGTAAAGAACTGCATAACAACATTCACACCCTCAACAGGCTACTATACACATATTGACTACATACCAGTAAAAAGGTAAAAGAAAACTGGATGGAGATGGAGGAAATAAAAAGGTGGTAATTGGGTAGAGAAAAATAAATAGGGAGAACAAAATTGGACAGAGATGAGAAGGAAAAGGTCACTGAAGAGATAAGAAAGCCTATTCAGGCTGAATTCCCAGGCAAACAGTCCCTTCCTCCCAAAGAATGGTGATTTTCATTTCCACAGATTGGTTCAACAATGGCTACTTTTCAGTTATTGATACATATAGTATAGTGTTCCATAGCTCTATCTGTTCCAGCAGGTGCATTATTCAGTAATGCTTGATATCTGTTCAAGGTAAAACCACAGTTCAATCACAGGTAACTGACAAAGTATGTGATTCATTGCAAGAAAAGTTTGTTTTCCATAGAGCAAGCGATATCATTTGCAGAAACTAGGAGCATCACATATAATAGATCCATAGAACAAATGATCCGTTCTTGCCTCTAAATATTTTCATTGTCCGTCCAGTTCTCCATTACAATTCCAAAACAGTATATAGTATTAAATTCTTAATTTTACTTGGCCTCATTTCTCAATAAACTTCATGCCATTTCTCTGAGACATGATACACATCTATGGAATAGTTCTGTTGATTGGCTGGGGATTATTTTCGAATTTCACCACACTGGCAAAACACTTTTCAATGCTATTATTATGAGTGATCTAATGCCCAACTGCTGTTTAGAAGGCTAGATCCTGAAGATGAAACTCAAATACTTTGGCCACCTAATGAGAAGGAATGACTCACTGGAAAAGAGCCTAATGCTGGGAAAGATGAAAGGCGATAGAAGAAGGGGACAACAGAGAATGAGGTGGCTGGATGGAATCACTGAAGCAGTAGGCGTGAGCTTAAATGGACTCCAGAAGATGGTAGAGGACAAGAAGGCCTGGAACGTCCATGGGGTCACAATGGGTTGGGCAAGACTTCGCATCTAAGAACAACAATGCCCACTCTGATTTTCATGAAGCCAGTTGGCGACCTGCAGTATTACTGTTGAAATATAAAACAAAAGAATACATCATCCTGTTCCAAATGGTATTCATACTTATTTAAGTCTCCAGCCTTTTTTTATTTATTTATACAAGGATTCAAAGAACATAACTGAACAGTGCAAGATAGTTACAAGTAACTTGGTAACCAAAAGAAATATATATATAAATGATCAAGTTTGTCAATAATGTGAAATAAATCTTACGTTTTGCAGACAGAACTGCACTTGTTTTGCTTTTTTTTTTTTAAAAGCCAAGATGTAGTCTGGATATATGTGTATCTTAACTCCTTAACAAGCCCACCAGAAACAACAGGTTTTTGTCATTGAAAGGATAAATAGCAATGATCTTAAACCTTATGTTGACCCCTTTCTCTTTCTGAAACAGACATTATGGCACATGAAAAATATGTTATACATCCATGACTCATTTCTGTTTCAAGGGACTTGAAACAGATTACACCTTGTAGTGTAAATGCATTTAATACCAAACTGTAGTACTGCCATAACAAAATAAACCTTAAAAAATTGTTATTCTATGACAGAAGACTGGGGCTCAAATGATGGGCAATGGTGGAAGACTCATTTAAATCAGGCTGTCCAATTTTATATCAAGCAGAGAATTGATGCTAGATTGAAGAGCATAAAGTATATGGCAAGGCAGGATACTCCTTTTTGTTGCTGGCCGTAATTTCATTTCATTTGGTCTTTCAGCTAGTGAAGAAGGATGTACCCCACTCCACTCTTTTCTAGGGCTCATTATGCTTCAGCAATGATTTTAAAGAGATGCTTCAGAATGTGCGGGAATATGTGCACCACTTCTTCAAAGTGGCAGTGTCTTTTTTTCATGCTTTTTGCTGTTTTAATGAATTATTCTGTTAAAGCAATGCTGATGTGTATCTCTAACTAATTAAAACAGTTGTGCTTTATCAAGTTAATAGGAAAGCCCCCCAAAATGATGCAGCTACCTTAAAGAGGTGCTGTGTTCATATTCCCACATATCACAAAGACTTCTAAATCATTTTTAAAGCATGAATAATCCTTCAACTTTCCACCTCTTTTTTTAAATATTCCTTTTTTTTAAAAGAAATGATTCAGGGAGGCTTCAGGTTTCTAAAAAACAATACACTGTTAACATCACACGTAGTTTGAGTCTTAGAAAAGGCTCCAAACTGTTTTGAGTTTACAGCTCTCCAGCAAGTTGGCAGATTTTCATTCAGAGAAGGAAATGGCAAATATTTTTTCCCCTGCATGATGTATAGCAGTTTATTTCTTTGTGTATTTACAGACATACATTTACAACACTAATTCAATGTGGCACTTTCCACTTTCTCTTGCATTCAAGCATGTTCAAAGAAGGCAGGATATTTGATTTCCATGCCTCATATGTATTCTCTTTACGAACACATTCAGTTAAAGAATAATGTAACTGAAAATAAAAAACGTTTTAAATAGGCTAAATCAGTAATGAAAGTGGAAGGAAGTACTGTTTTACTCACAGGGATTTAAACAATGTGTACAAAACTAGATGTATTTTGTTACAAAGAATTCCTTCTGGCATTGCTGTTTGTTAATCAAGTTTTCAATTCTCAGTGAGCCTCCAGTACTGAATGGGATGATTAGGGAACTAATTTTTCCCAATAATTAACAAAGCAGAACCAGAATCCTTCAACTGAATGTATTTGTCTCTACCCTCTGTCTCATCCCATTGAATTTAGCTAAGATGCTAGAAATGGTTTCCTTGTTTGTAACTAGGAATGTTTCAGAATTGATAATAGTTTCTATCTCTGACTGCTGTCATAAGAAACACAACTTTCAGGTTGTTGTTTTTTTGCTTTAAGACAGAAATATTTCAGCATTTATGAGAAGCCTATATATTTTGAATAAAAGTTATGTTTTCACATCACTTGATTCTCAAAGAGAATTTATGAAATGAATTAAAGTGAATTAACAAAGTTAATTCATTTCAGGGTTTTCCTAGTATTCAGTCAAAATGGTAGGGTTGGTTAGATAGAATTTGGAAAACAGAAAAAAAAGATGCTTAGAAGTAAATCTCAGGACCCAAGGCAGAGAATTGTACACGTACACACACACACACACACACACACACACGTAAATCTGTGATTGGACTTCTCTCTGATAGGCACCAAATTAATTAAGCCAAAATATGGATAGTTTT